TTTTCTTTATCCATAAATTTTCTTTGTATTTCACATTAAGAGGTTTATTTCAATTCTGCTGGTTTCACTATTTCACCTTATCCTTCCTATGTATGACATAAATTTTAGCTTGCAGTAGATTTAGATAAGGTGCTCTGTTGGCTAAACCTCCTAGCATTGTTAAAAGAGCAGGACACAATGTTCCCAATATGAGCTGCATGCTCTAATGAGGTTGTACAACAATGACCTCTGTTTATGAAGAGGAGCATCCAGTTCACAGGTAGGAAAGGCAGGAAAAAATCACCTTATGTGGAACTTGTGTTTGGACCAAGATTATTGTACAACCGTTTGAAAGAATGGCATGAAACATTTGCTTCTGACAGAATAACAAATCATTTAGAAAAGCTCTTTGTTTGTGAGTGATAAGGGCGCTGGGAAAATGTCATTTGCTAAGCTTTTAAACTCAATATTTAAGATCAGAGTCACAAAATGGCTGTTGAGAGAAGAGTTTTTCATCTTGGACTGCAGGCTGATGGTTATTATGTACAGGTCATTGCAAACTCCAGCATGGGCACAGCTCATGGGAGCTTCGCTGTAAAACTTCCTACATTAGCTACAAGGAAGGTGCACCCGACTGTGATCTGTGCCCATGGTGAGACTTTCATCCAAATTTACCGGTAATTGGTTTGTGGATTTCAGCAATGTTTTATCCAAAATTCAATTTATATATCTCTTGGAATAGATGATAGATAGATAGATAGATGATAGATAGATAGATAGATAGATGATAGATAGATAGATGATAGATTTTGAAATTTTCTCAGACAAATAATAAATGCATAATAGCAAACAAAACATACATAAAAACTTGACTGTGAACTTAGTCCCGGTACTACTTCTTGATACATGGGGCTTGGACCAGAAAATGGAGCAACCAGAGGACTCAAAAATAGGTAACATGTTGAAACAGCAATCTGGAAAATCAAAAGAGGCAAGCTATAAATTTTGAAGCACCAAAAGTGTTGAAGTATAATTCCAGTCCATAACAGACAATGAAGATCTGGGAGAAGGACCATTCCTTGCTGTCACTAACAACAACAACAACAACAACAACAACAACAACAAACAACAAACGGAAACCAAGTAACTGAGAATGATATTTTGGATTTAACCTCTCTTAAGTTCTCTGTTAGGCTCTATGTCTTTTTCTACCACCACCAAGCGCCATCACTTATTCCACCATCCTTTTAGAGCAGGGATAGTCAACCTTTTTATACCTACTGCCCACTAATGCATCTTTCTTGATGGTAAAATTTCCTTACTGCCCACCAGTGCTCAGTGGAAGGAGGATTCAGCTTGTGCTGTAAAACCCCCTACCGCCCACCTAGCAGCCTGAAACGCCCACTAGTGGGTGGGAGGGACCAAGTTGACAACCCCTGCTTTAGAGTAAAATGGGAATGATGCCACCAGTGGGGGAACTAACTTGCTGCTGCTGCTGTGTGGATTATTAGGCCTTTGTATAAGGTAGTGGTTCTCAACCTGTGGGTCCCCAGATGTTGTTGGACTACAACTCCCATCATCCCTGACCACTTGTCATGCTGGCCAGGAATGATGGGAGTTGTAGTCCAACAACATCTGGGGACCCACAGGTTGAGAATCACTGGATAAGGCATTTTGCATTTTTATTTTTTTTGAAAAGTAAACATACAGTTCATAAGTTACAGTTTATTATACATTTGTCTAAATAAACAAATAATGAATGAACGCTATTAATTCTAAGAAATCCGGAAGTTGCGTTAAAATGTAAACATCAACCGTGAGTGGTTGTGTGAATCGTCTCTGACAGCGCGAGTGAATTTTGAGCATCTTTGATGCCATCCACAAAGGCAAATGCCAACTGTGTCGAAGTAACTATAGACATGTAAAGACAGTTGCTTATATAGCTGTGATTCTATATGCATTTCTCTTTTGACAAGAAGGCGGAATCTCCCTTAGAAAAGAGAAAGAAGTCATGTAGCAACGGATATTGAAATGCCTGGTTGCCACCGCTCAGTGTTATTGATATCCTAAACATACCGTATTTTTCCGTGTATAAGACTAGGTTCCCTCCCTAAAAAATAATGTCAAAAATTAGGGGGTGTCTTGTCCATGGGGCCATCTCCCCCCCATTTTCTTAAATCTAAGTGCCCCCAAAATAGGGGCGTCTTATAGATGGAAAAGTACGGTATATTTTTATTGTTTCAGAAAACAGCAAATCCAAACAAAGTCTGACAATCAGAAGATGAATTTGCTTTTCGATATTTATTCAGTCAGTACAGACTTTCCGGTATTTTCCAGTCTTGAACTGGAAGACCTAAAGGTGTCAGGGAGGGATTCATGATTCAACGCATCATGATTCAACTCTGGCCCAAAGAGGGATGTGCTCAGAGCTCTCCCCATACATTGCTGGCCTGCCTTCAGTCAACAGGAGCAAGGCTTGTCATATGTCCCTGAAATCGCCCTATAAAAGGTTGCATTTCTCCTTCGGAATAAAACCGCTGAATCTTTCCTTCACAAGGTAAAAGCCACTCCACAAGACTCAGTGGGAGTTAACAGGGCATTGGACTAGATGACCCTTAGCGACCTTTCTAGGTCTACAATTCTACAATTATTTATTGTTGACCTTCTTTCTGATGATGCCTTGCCTATAAGAATCCAGCAAATAGCAGCACCCCATTATTCTCTTTGGAGACGACTGGTCGCTTTGCACCAGCAACAAGAGACAACAGCAAGCCAACACCTATACAAATGCCAATCAGATTAATTTGTTTCCCTGAGAGGTTACCAAAAGAAAAATGGAATAGGAAGACTTGAATACTTGGATCAAATGCTGTAGAGAGGCTATATCTTTTCATGAGGAATATGGGGTTGCAGATTTCGGAAACAAAACTGAAGAGTTAAAGGAGGTGAAAACACACACATGCCTATGATGTGCTTTACCCTATTACTTGGCAAAGCAAAACAAAGCAGAGCAAAATATATGACAACATTAAACTGTGGACAATCCACTTAGCAGAAGCACTTCAGACATATTATTCAGTCTGGGACAAGCGAGCCTTTTGTTTCCAGATTTATATTTTCACTCCGTTGAAATTTGGGCCATTGTTTTAATTTATGCACATCCATGCCTCGTTTTTATTGTGTGCAGACTGTGAATGAAAGCAGTGCCATTAAGAAAGTAGAAATGTTAATTTCACATAATAAATTTCCTCACTTTCCCCCTTTAATAGTCCAGGAAGAACATGGTGCATTGGTGTAAAAGTCTAGGAATGTTATGTGCCAGAATTTTTAACACAACCATTAGTAGCAGAGTGAATATTAATTGCAGATGGTATCTTTTTGTTGCTCAGCTTTGTGATTAAGCTGTCTAATGAAAAGCTTCCATTGCTCTGCAATTCCTTTTGTGCGCAAATGTAAATCACTGACGCTCGACAAGTTTCCTTGTTACACTTTTAATGAGAGTATATATAGCAAAGGATCTTCTGCATTAGCAATAATAGGAAATATCAATGCGTGCTGGGGAAAGGGAAGTATCTAAGTACTGCTATTAGGGAAAAGAAGATAAGGGGATTTTATTTAACAGTTCAAGCCGTTGTTTTTCTTGAATCTTCTGACCTAATTAATGTAAGGTAGAGCGTATGAGGTAATATAAAATCCACGCAGAAAAGCATCAGGACCAAGGGACATTATTGTCTGCCCACACCAGGGCTATCTTTAGCATATGCGGCACCGGGGTGCACAAATTTGCCCAGTGCCCCAATTTTTTTTGGGGGGGGGGGGCAGCTCAGAGTTCTTGAGCTTTTAAGGAAGGGGACAGCAAAAAACGCTAACATGAAAAAATAAAAAGCAGCTGCGATACCTCCGTCTTTCCATTTTTGCGATTGTGCTGAAATGAACAACGGCGCAGGATACGTTGATTTTGCAGCTATTCCACAATCGAGAACGGAAATGACCCATCGAATGCAATCACCCGGGGGGCACGGTTAACAGCTTAGGTGGCTTCAGCAGCGGGCGCCCCACAGAAGAAGAAGAAGAAGAAGAAGAAGAAGAAGAAGAAGAGGAGGAGGAGGAGGAGTAGTAGTTTGGATTTGATATTCCGCTTTATCACTACCCCAAGGAATCTCAAAGCCACTAACATTCTCCTTTCCCTTCCTCTCCCACAACAAACACTCTGTGAGGTGAGGGAGGCTGAGAGACTTCAGAGAAGTGTGACTAGCCCAAGGTCACCCAGCAGCTGCATGTGGAGGAGCGGAGACGCAAACCCAGTTCACCAGATTATGAGTCTACCGCTCTAAACCACTACACCACACTGGCTCCTGGCTGCACAAAATTCGGTGCCTGGGTGCAATGCACCCCTAGCAACCCCAGGTAAAGACGGCCCTGTCACAATGGCAGGGGCTACATGAGGAAGGAGGAATAATTGAAAATAATCTTCCCCCTTCCTCCGTTGGTGTTTTGTGTGAGGGCAACACTATTCATTGCAAGTCTTCTGGACTCATCCCAATGTCTGCTCACACACTTCCCAATCCTGACAACCATTGTCTAAACTGAGAGTGAATCCAAACCAGAGCATTCTTCTTCTTCTTCTTCTTCTTCTTCTTCTTCTTCTTCTTCTTCTTCTTCTTCTTCCTATACTACCCTTCATTCGAAGATCAAAGTGCGGTTTACAATATAAAAACACAAAAATGCATACCAGAGTAGCAGTAACCTCCTCATCTTAAAAGGCCATAGATTTTTTAATGAGCCAAAGGCCTGGGAGAAGAGGAATGTTTTTGCCTGGCACCTAGAGATATGTAATGAAGGCAGATTGGAACCGGCCCATTATGTTTGCTCGCTATATGTGTTTCTTGAAGACAAATTACATCTACATTTTGTTTGAGAATTATGTGTTCAATTTTATTTGTCAGGGAGTCTTGGAAACAAACAAGCATGGTTAATTAGAAAGAATATTTATTGCAAAAAAACCAACAGAGTTCACAAACGCTGCTGTCCATCTATCAGTGAAGATGTTCCTACTGAGGAGGCTTCTTCCAGTCAAACCAAAAGCAGCACAGTGGAGCTCAGAACCAAGCTTATTCACTGAAATCACTACCCATGCTAATACTTTGGGAAGTTAGGGATATAGGGGGAAATAGAGGGGCATGATGGTTGCATTGGAAGTTAGCAAGGGCACCACAGGGACTTGAACCGCATCCTGGGAACTAGGAGTGCCAACCAGTAGTGCCTTTGGCTTTTTTTTTGAGCAATGCAACAAGGTGAAAAGCAAAACCTGCAAATGTTCTCTTGGGGGGAGAAACACTCTCTGTGGAGAGACAGCTTTTCTTACCACCATGGCTTCTGGGACTCTGCTGGAAGAGCTGGCTTCATTTGAGGGTTGGAAGCACTAAAATGATATAAAGCCAAAACGTTAGCACAGCTCCTTTATGGATCCTTTCTGGGCCCGCCTCCCTCCTCGTTCATTCCCCTTGAACGAGTGCAATCCAAACTCCTCAGAGCCGTTCTACAAGTTCCTAGATGCATTTCAAATGCATGGGCCAGACTAGAAACAGGGATGATGAAAGTTGAAGCTCATATTAGTCTAACTTCAATATATATGTGGCTAACTCTGAAACTGCTCCCCCGAGGAATAGCCCCATTGATTCTGAGCAACCAGTTTCAGTCTGGCTGGCAGACAGCAGTTTTAAACACTTCAGAAACTGGGCCTTGCTCCCCAAACCCTCATAACTACGGGCCTAGGCCAAGCTAGATCTGTGGTTAGGCAAAGAATCATGGACATAGAGAGACAACAGGACTGTACAAGGGTCCCCAATTATAAAATAATAGAAAATGGGAGATATGTAGCCACTCCAGCAACATATCTCTATTTCCTCACATCCAGAAACGCAAGAAGGGCTTTCACTCTTGCTAGAAGCTCGGCCTTGCCCTCACCGGTTCTGGAAGGCTCCTATAGAAGAGTCCCGTATGCACAGAGACTTTGCGCCTGCCCACTAGGGGAAATAGGAAGCCCCAAACATATATTTTTTAGATGTCCTTTTTATGCTGAGATTCGTAGAGACACCACTGATCCTTTGCTGAAGAGGCTTGCTGATCTTCCAGACAAGTCTAAACTTAATTCTCTCCTCTTAGGGAAAGATCATAAGACAACCTGGCTGGTAGCCAGATTTTGTGCCTAGATTTGTAGGCACAGATCATCCTCTAGAATAAAATAGCTTACTAGGGAAAAGCTGAAGTCACCCTTTGGGGAGCCTCAGGGTCAATTTTTATGGTAGCCCAAATCTCAGTTGTATGGGTGTATGTATATATCTCAATTTTAACTCATGAGCTATTGCTGCAATCTGTTCTGATTGCATATTTTATCTTTATGAACACTGTTTTTATTGTGTTTTGCGAGCTGGTCTTTGACCGTAATAAATTATCTATCTATCCCAGTCCAAATGCAGGTGCCTCTCACCTCAGGTGCAGTGAACTCTGGGAAGCCTGAAGGAAAGAAGAGCTAGAACAAAAGAAGAAGTGTTTTCCTGCCTGCAGGTGAGCCTCATTGTAGTGACGCAGAATAGGGCCTCTTCTGACAACTCAGTCACCGCAACCTGAAAGAGTCTTATCACAATGAGTTGTAGACGGAACACAGTATAGATTTTCTTCATAGGCAAGCAGGGGATACTCACCTAAATGTCCTTCAATCATGGAAAACCATTTTGCCCGCCATTTTTGTTTGAAGCTGGATGAGCCATTGATCTACAGGGGCACAACAGAGAGATGAGATTCAGACTTAAACCTCTGCCATTAAGCTTGGTGTGGAAAGAAGGAAGATTGTTCACCCTTTTGTTTGTCTATCTGAGGGTGACAGTGTGTCTTGTGGTTCCATTTTTGGATTTGCGATCTAGAGTCACTAGTTTGTCCCCAGCCACCTTCCACCAATTGTACAGAAAATGATTTTTTTTAAAATAACAAAAACAAAACAGCTTTTCTTACTACTATGACTTCTGGGACTCTGCTGGAAGAGCTGGCTTCATTTGAGGGTTGGGAACTCTCTGGAGAGACCTGTGAAGAGATCACCAGAAAAGAAAATGGGGAAAAGGAGAGACTAATACAAATAAAAAATATGTCTTGAAAAAAAGACCACTGAGTGGTGGAATGTGAACTTACCTAAAGCAGCACACTCCAAATGCAGGTGCCTCTCACCTCAGGTGCAGTGAACTCTGGGAAGCCTGAAGGAAAGAAGAGCTAGAACAAAAGAAGAAGTCTTCTCCTACCTGCAGGTGAACCTCATAGTTGTGACACAGAATAGGGCCTCTTCTGACAACTCAGTCACTGAGAGAATCTTAGCACAGTGAGTTGCAGAAGGAACACAACATAAATTTTCTTCCCAGCCAAGCAAGGGATACTCACCTAGATGTCCTTCAGGCATAATGTATACAACTATATTGCTGCTATCATTGTGATGTAGCGTTTAGGGTTTACTTGTGAGGTATCTGAGCCTGTCATCGCCTCTGAAAATACAAGAGTACTTCATAGTTACCTTCCTTCAGCTGCTATAGTCGCTTCAAAGTGAGAAGTTTGTATGTTTTTTTTGTATGAAGTCAACGCTTTGTGTTGTCTGAGCTATGTGCTAAATAGCTGTTCCTAGAAGATGCTTATCAAAAATAAAATAGAATCCAAACACCTTGGTTATTACTGCCAGAGAGCCACGTTATGCATCAGGCGTAGTTTTGCCTGGCCTGTTCCATAGTTACCTTTTGAGCTCCATTTCCCATGTCTTTTCGTAATCTTGCCTCCATCCGCCTGCCCACTAGACCAACCCACCTGCCGCTGCTCTATGCTGGAGCCACAGCCCTGGAGAACGTGGCTGCCCTTCTCTGGCCTGCCTCTCCCCCTCCCTGTCACCTCTTGGTGGGCTTCAGCAGCAGCGCCCAGCCCTCCCCCTCTCGGCCAGCTCAGGAGTAGGGTGTTCATGTAGGTGTCCCTTTGCAGGCCATGAGGAGAAGGGGGCGTCACCCCAGCCCCGAAGACCAGGCCTGGGCATGGCTTGTCTTGCCTCCCCTCAGCTCTGACCTCGATGAGGGAGCCTGTCATGAGGGCACCTAGTTGCGACCCCTCAGAAATGTGCTCCCGGGGCCATGTTCCCCCCACATTATGCCTCCGCTGAGCCCATCTCTTAGGATACACTCAATATCTCTTCCCTTTCATAAGTAATGCTTTTAAGGAACAGCAGACATGGCGCCCTGGAACAATAGACCATTAAAGCATCAGAATATTTAGACAATGAGGGGTCTTTACGTACTTTAGGTACTATGTCATCTCCTAAAGATTCTTTGTGGTGTACTGTTTGCATGTTTTGGGTGTTTCATACATGATTAACCTGTTTGTGTCCATGATCTAGTCTCCATGATATGATAAGTTGTTGTTTTCTTTATTTTTTTATTCAGATAATATACTGCTTGGAGGGGTTTGAACTAACTGACCTTCCCAACTCAACAATTCCACGATTCTGTGTATAATTTTTATTCTTATTAAATTTTCTGCTTTACGATTTAGAATACTTATTGAAGCATCCTTAAAATATCAATGACTTCCCTTCTTCTCTTTCCATGGTTCATTTTGCATATCATAAATCCCTGCATATTTTACAAAAACCAAACTAATCAGTATTCCATTATTACATCCATCAAAACTTATTTACACTGTTGAGTTTATCTTAGTGCTGCCAACGTTTTCAAGTGTACAAAATCCCCGTATTCAATAAACATTTTCCAATCTTCTCTAAACGTATGTTCTTTTTGTTCTCTCATTCTATATGTTAAGTCTGCAAGCTGAGCATATTCCATGATTCTGTATGTGGTTCTTGTGGTGTTTTTTCTTTCTTCTTCATACCAGGAACCTCTCCTTGGTTTTCGCGGTTCCCGGGAACACTGTTTCAAAACCATTGGTCTTGAAAGCTACCAGCTACTGTCACTCCTAAATCTGTCTTCAGGTGTTGGAAAATTCCATAATCACCCGAAGTGTGTTATTAACTAAGAGCCAGAAGTTGAACCTTAACAGTAAAGTTTAATCCCATGCAAGGAAGGCAGGGGGTGGGGAGGTGGGCCAGGGGAAGCCTGCAGTTGTTTCTTTGCCGTATGGTAATCCGCTCTTTGGAAATCCAACAATGAAATAACACTTGCCATTGGATGAGCCTTCAAAGTGTTTCTGTTGATTAAACTTGTGTCCATGCCAATGACTATATGCATATCTGTTATGACTCAGTTCAAATTGTTCCTCCACAGCTTCTTTCCCCTTGTTTATTATGCCCAAGTCAGTGGATCAGATTTGATGGATTAGTGCAGGGAACGCAGAGATCAGGTGCACAGCCATCAAATCCTCCTACATCTTGACTGTGACCTGCTCAAAAGCATGACAAATGATTTCAGTTCTTTTTTTGCCCTCATCCAAGAACTGGAAAACTGGGGAGGAACTGGTGAATATTTTCTGAAGTGGTGTGGTTACTGTGTACAAAAGCTTGCCATAGGGTTTATGCTAGAACCCATTAAGAAATGTGATCTTTTTTCAGTAGCCATTTGTCTGAAATGCCTATCCAAAGGATTCCTTTACAACTTCCCACCAGATGGCTAAAACTTTGCATCATCATCATACCTCTTTTACTGATCAAATTTTTAGTTTGCTGTGTTGAATTGTCTCTGTTGCTGGAAGATGCTCAGCTGTTTTTATAGGACCTTTGTCTTTTCTGTGTTCTGTTGCCGTTGGTCACTTTGCTTAGTTATGTTTGCTTTGAGAAATATTTTAAACTTGGCGCCAGGATTTTTCTTTTCTGCATTCCCTTGGGGGCTACGTGCCTGTGGTGGTCAGGGCCACCCCCTTTCTCAATTTCTGCCACATCTGCTCTCCCTTCCCCTCTCCCCACCTGCCAGTCCTGCCAGCAAAGGGGGTGGACTGCTCTGTCTGGCTCCTGGACCCATTGCATTCTGGGAACCTTTCCCTTCTCCTTCCATTTTTCCATGCTTTCCCCCAAGTTCTTCCATGTCCCTCACTCTGAGCTCCCTTCCTCCAGGGCTTTTTTCCCATGCCCTTCAACATTTCTCTGATAAAAATAGGGACGTCCTATTCCATCATCATCATCACCATCACGACCACCACCACCACCATCATCATCATCATCATATCCTGCCCATCTGATTGGGTTGCCCCAGCCACTCTGGTCAGCTTCCAACATATATATGGTTGTTTTTCCTGTTGACGTATTTTAAAATGGGACCTAGAGCTATAAGGCCCATTGAAATACATGCGGGTTACTTCTCAGTAAACATACATAGGATAACACTGTAAATAACCAAATTAGATCTTGGTTAGCACCAGTGCTTTTTTCTGGGGGTACGCATACCCCTAAACATGTTGTGAATCTTTGTAGTTTTGTTCATTTAGTGTATTTATTTTTTCCAATTTGAACTATAAAATGGTGATTTTCTTGAGTCAAAATGAGAGTACAGTGGTACCTCCGGTTACAGACACTTCAGGTTACAGATGCTTCAAGTTACAGACTCTGCTAACCTAAAAATAGTACCTCGGGTTAAGAACTTTGTTTCAGGATGAGAACAGAAATCGTGCAGCGGTGGCGGCGGCAGCAGCGGGAGGCCCCATTGGCTAAAGTGGTACCTCAGGTTAAGAACAGTTTCAGGTTAAGAACGGACCTCCGGAACGAATTAAGTTCTTAACCCAAGGTACCACTGTACCCCTAAACATTTTCTTTTAAAGAAAAAAAAAGCACTGGGTAGCACACATTCAGCACTGTGGTTCGGCCCATTTTTGAAGGCTGCTCAGGGATGTGCCCCTTTGCCCCCAAAAGAGATGAGAAATCTTTAGAATTTCGCTGGTGGGTTGTGTTTCACCTCTGTTTTCTCTCATTTAAAAGCATCTCTCCTGCTCAAATTGGGAACGTTCAGGGTAGACTCCTAATTGCCACGGCTTTCTCTCCCCTGCGCCTGCATTCGAAACCAACAAGCATCACCATAAGATGTTTTGCTAATGCTCGTCTTGAAAGCTGCTGGGAATCCCTCTCACCTGGCAATGCGCAGCCGCACTGTCGCTGTTCCCTGCTGCCACATAGACCATCGATAAGTGGCCTTTCATTAGAGCGCAGCAGGATAAAGAGCTAACAGGAGGCGCTGTGCCATCCCCGCTGTGATTGCGGCTAATTTCAAGAGATAAGTGGACTTTGGACCCCCGAGGTCATGTCAGGTTGACCTTTGAAAGCATGATTGACACAACACAACGCCCCTCTTCCTCTGGCAAAATTGGATGAGAGCAGCAACATCTTGAAAACAACACATTTCCCCACGATCTCTGCTCCATGCAACCAGGAACCAGCTCGGAAAAGTGCGGTGAAACATCACTTTGTGGCTGCGTGGGAAGGATACCTTTAAAACACCCCTCCTCACAATAATTCTGGGGACCTCTTCCCAGAGCTACAGCTTGCATTGCAATAATCTAACAGAAGTTAGGCTATCCCTGTCCGGATTGGGGCGCAGGTGGGCCACCGGCCGAGGCTGATGGAAGGCTTTCCATGCCACTGAGGCCACCTGAGCCTCAAGTGTCAGCAAAGGGCCCAAGAGTACCCCAACGGCTGCAAGGATACTTCTGGCTCAGAAATGGAAGTAACAGGAACTTCCTGTGTGGTGTAGTGGTTAAGAGTGGTGGACTCATAATCTGGTGAACCGGGTTTGTGTCTCCGCTCTTCCACATGCAGCTGCTGGGTGACCTTGGGCTAGTCACACTTCTTTGAAGTCTCTCAGCCCCACTCACCTCACAGAGTGCTTGTTGTGGGGGAGGAAGGGAAAATAGAATATTAGCCGCTTTGAGACTCCTTAGGGTAGTGATAAAGCAGGATATCAAATCCAAACTCTTCTTCTTCTTCCAACATTGAAAGAATGGCAGAACAAGATAGTGGAATACGTAGAGTTGGCAAAGTTGACGGGGAAGATCTGTAATCAACACGATGAACTGTTTCAAAAGGACTGGAGCAAATTTGTATTTTATATGGAAGAACATTGTAAACACCTGAAAACGTTTGTAGGCTTAAGTTGAAATGTTTTGTAATGTGAATATAAGGAACTGATTTACATATAATGAGGTGAAATATAAAAAGAAGATAGAAGGTAAAAAAGTGGCTATAGAAATGCTAAGAATTTAGTAAAGATGTTTGGAAGTCAAAAAGAGGGAGGGAAGGAGGTCTATGCTGGGTTTGACCTATGTTTTAGGTTATAGAATTATGTAATAGAATGTGATTATGATAAATGTGGAAAACTCAATAAAAATTATTATTTAAAAAAAGAGTACCCCAACCTAGTACCCTCTCCTTTAAGGGGAATATGACCCCACTGAGGGCAGGTAATCTCCCAGCCAGATATGTGGAGCCCAGGCTATGAAGGGCTTTATTTAT